CGGTGGGTGAGGTGGCTGTAGATGTGTTCACTCCAGCTTCACCTTCATTTTGGCAATTTACATGATCTGGGGATGCAGCCTGGAGCCCATAGCACATCTTGCAAATAGCCATATTTATTGAAAACATAATGGGCCCTGAGAGGAAGGCTGCTTCATTTCCATACCAAGCATCTGTGCGGGGATGGTGGTGTGGGCTGGGGAGGCCTGTGCAGAGGGCTGGGCGGAGCCATGTGGCCACGTCCAGAGCCCTGGTCCAGCTCATTGTCTGGGACAGCGGAGCAGCCATGTCTGTCCCTCCACGGTGCTTAGGGAAAGGACGTTCGGTGATTCTAGCTGTCTTCTCCTCAGCATTGAAGGAGATGAATTTGTCTGTCTGTAGCAGGGCTGCTGGAATGCCAGTCATGCCAGTTTGTGCAGGCAGATGCTAGAATAAAAGTAGTTGGGGTCCACACTCCTAGACTAACCAGTGTCTCATCTTCCACTCAAGAGACCACAATCTGAGCCTTTGAACACAAACTGATCACTTTGCTCAAACCAGCTAGCTCTTCGATCTCAGCTCCTAGATATGCTGACTCCCTTTGCCCCCTGCCTCATTTGTGAGGCTGTAAACTCCTAGCTGAGTGCTCGGCACACAGTAGGTCCTCAGCAAATATCTCCTCCCTTCCCTCACTAAGGATAGGACCACTATGAGATACTGGCACAAATACTTGTTGAGTCCCTTCCAAATACCATAAGTGGTGTTATGTAATCACAGTTCAACACAGAAGCCAGAGTGACACTCTATGGCAATGGTCATGCTCCCCAGTCATCACACCCTATGGTCTCATACGGTAGCTCTTACTGAGTACCACTGATCCCGGAGGGGACTTTGTCTTTTTAACTTGTGTGGTTCTAAAATAATCTCTTCCTCTTCAGTGGCAGGGGATGCCAAAGATAAAGACATCTCCTGGTTCTCCCCCAATGGAGAAAAGCTCACTCCGAACCAGCAGCGGATCTCAGTGGTATGGAATGACGACTCTTCTTCCACCCTCACCATCTACAATGCTGACATTGACGATGCCGGCATTTACAAGTGTGTGGTCACTGGCGAGGATGGCAGTGAGTCAGAGGCCACAGTCAACGTGAAGATCTTCCGTAAGAGCCTCCTCCTCCTCCTATATTTGTCCTCGTCTTTAGCCAGGAAGATACATGGGCGGCAGGCAGAGTGGGATGGCAATAAAGGACCTGCTGACGGCTTGACAGGGCTTCTTCCCTTCTTTCCTCACCCTAAGTCTTTTCTGAATTGTACTAAGAGCTCCAATATGCTCTTAAATGATCCTGACCCAACTCAGAACTCACAACGCAGGTTCATGTTGGTCACAGCAACCTCCCACTGACCTCCAACTCTAAATTCAAACTACACAGTTCCCAGAGAACTATTATGGGTGCCCCATCCCTTCCCCAAGTGTTGACTAACTGTTGTACAATTCAGGGTCCCGCTCTTATTTCACTCTCCCATGCTGGTAATGGAGTCAAAAAGCTCAGTGGAGGGTTAGGGGGATATTTTTATTTGAACTCTCTGTGCCACTCAGAACAGGCAGCTCCAATTGCTACTTGGTCTGATGGTGGCCTCTAATCACCTTGTCATCATGCATCTGTCCCATTGGCCAGTGTAATGGTGAGTGACAACTAATAGAACAGTATGGATTGTCATGGTATTTATTGTCATTATTGCCTTTCTTCTGTTCTATTCTTTAAAATTGTCTCTGCTATAGGAACGTTGAGGTTGGGGTACCACATAGAGTGGGAGACAGAGAAAGGATTGATAACTCCTGCTATTCATTGTAGAACAGGTGTTCTGCCAGTTCATTCTACTTATGCACTGTGTTTCAATGGCACTATTCCACATGGCAAGGGACCCTGGTAAAGACCTTCCTTTCCCTCCATAGATGTTTCATACACAAACTGTGATAACTTTAGCACTCAGTGATAGACATTGATTGCCAGACTTCCACAACATATTCCCCTACTTGTGCCAGCCACTCCACCTGGCACCTTTGACCAAGTACTGGGTGGAACCCTTTCTATACCATTGTATAGATGTCTTGGAAGTTGCCTGCAACTGGAATCCAGGCAGTATGGCTCCAAGGAAAGGGATCTTTGTGGGAAAACCAGCTGTTTTCCCTCACTCTTCTCTTGTTTGTTTTCCAGAAAAGCTCATGTTCAAGAATGCACCAACTCCCCAGGAGTTCAGAGAGGGGGAAGACGCAGTGATCGTGTGTGATGTGGTCAGCTCTCTACCCCCAACCATCATCTGGAAACACAAAGGTCGAGATGTCATCCTGAAAAAAGATGGTGAGACCTGAATTCCCTGGCAGCTGTTGCCTTACCCCTGGGCCACCAAGTCCCTTAGGGTTCCACCTCTGCAGGCCTGTGAGACATTTTGACCCATACTCCAGTGTCCCTCCCAGAACCACATGCAGTTTAGGTCCTAAATGGAGATATATATATATCTGTGGCTTGTATGTTCAGGGACTTTCTCCAAAGAAAGAGACAAGTTTACAATAGACATTTGCTCTTGCCTCTATGTCAGAGCCAGGGACACATTTTCTTATTTCAGCGTAAAGCTCCGCCCCATAAGACTGAAGCTAGGAAAAGGGAAAGGCTCAGCGACCTTCCTACACACACAAGTCCTCTAACTGATCCTTGGACGAACCTGCCTCTTGTCTCTTCTAGTCCGATTCATAGTCCTGTCCAACAACTACCTGCAGATTCGGAACATCAAGAAAACAGATGAGGGTACTTACCGATGTGAGGGCAGAATCCTGGCACGGGGGGAGATCAACTTCAAGGACATTCAGGTCATTGTGAATGGTGAGATCCGTTCTTCCTAGTATCTCCATTGCTACAACCTTGGTCCCCAATGTCATTCTCTTCAACCTCCTATTTGGTGTATAAAATGTAGACTCATTCAATCTCAGCTGAATCCCCCTACCTCCTATTGCCTCCTGCTTTGTTCTTCCTAAAAAATATATATATATACTTGCCTTCTGGGTTTCCCTCAACTATGGGGACTATTAGTGCAGTTTTTTAATGTCCTTCATTGTCTTGAACCACTAGAAACTTTCCCCGTGCTTACTAATACATTCTGATTCAGCCTTCATTATCTTTGATGCTACCGTAATTGTGAAATTAGTCCCCTGGTTCAGTGTGCAATGAAAATATTATAATCAATTCAGGCCTCAGAACAGTCAGAATCATGGCCCATGGGCTTATTAATCTTAATTTGCAATGTCAAATAAACACACCAGTGGAATCGATCTGACATTTACAAGATGTCTACAGGAAATTATAATGTCAGTATTAAGAAAATAAGCATATCATGGTCAGATTGTTTTGGCTATTGATATATACTTTTGCTAAACCCTCCCCCTTCATTCCTTTAGTAAAACAGTTGGTGCACAGGGCTGTTTATGACATTTCCAGAGAAATGTCACTCTGGTGCACTGGTGCATTTCAAATCGGCATTAACCATTTAATCACCGGGATCAGGGGTTTCAACATTTTCCAGTATGAACAATCCCATTTTGAACATCAAGTTCCCTAGCCATGGTAGTTGTAAGTTGAATATGCCCTGATTGAAAAAATATATAATAATAAATAGTTGCTATGAATTAAATGCCATTTTAAAATGAATAAAATGCATTAATATAGCTTCAGGAGCTATATTACTAAAATACAGCATTGTACTAGAGTGAGCAAAAGTAGATTAATAATAATAAATATAGTCATTAATAAATAAATAAAACAACACACCTGTAATCCTACTTTTGCCCACACCTGTATATTGTTATAAAACACTAGTGCATTTTGGGGTGAGTTATTTATTCAGTTTACAATAATTATTTAGTACATGCCTGAATTGAGATCCCTTACACTAACTCTGCAACTGCCCAGGACTCTTGACCCCCAGGTGTGACCCTTGACCTAGGGTTCCCTAGAAGTGCCGCTTCTCCAGGCCACTGGATTCTTCCAACCATCCCTGACAGCCCTTCTTTCCTTCAGTACCGCCCACCGTCCAGGCCAGACAAAGCATCGTGAATGCCACCGCCAACCTCGGCCAGTCCGTCACCCTGGTGTGTGATGCTGAAGGCTTCCCGGAGCCCACCATGAGCTGGACAAAGTAAGACCTGGGTCCTGCGTTGGGTCAGGGACTAGTGGAGAAGGGGCCAGCACAGGGCCTGCTCCGGGTTGGCATTGCCATGGAGCAGGGACAGACTGCCTGGGGATGTCACCCACTCTGGGTGCAGGATGCACTCCCCTGCACGGTGCTCCTACCTTGTGCATCGGATTCCTCCTGCATCCTCAGTCTGCGGGTAGAGAGCATGGTCTTGCAGGCCCTCTTTGGTATGTCTATGAGTGCAGTTTACAGCCCAGGGACAGGATCAGAGGTTTGGGTGGAGGAATCTAAGGTATATTTGGAAATGCAATTTGGTGTCTTAACTTTTTGTGAAGACTGAGCCTTTCCCATGGGCTCAGACTGCATTTTATGAATAAAATTAAAAACAAACATCTTCCCTCTTTGGTCAAAATCATGGTCCTTTGCCTTGGTACACCCTGTAGGGACGGGGATCTGATAGAGAATGAGGAAGACGAGAAGTATGTCTTTAGTGATGACAGTTCGGAGCTGACCATCAGGAAGGTGGATAAGAACGACGAGGCTGAGTATGTCTGCATCGCTGAGAACAAGGCTGGAGAGCAGGATGCGTCCATCCACCTCAAAGTTTTTGGTAAGGACAGTGGGGGTCAAGGTCACTAAATTCCCCTTACCCTGCACACTCAATCCATCAGCAAGAGCCTGTCCACTCTGCTCAGAATCTATCCCAAGTTCAGCCTCTTCTTACCAGCTCTGCCACCTATGCCCCAGTTCAAGCCACCCTCCTGCTCCCCTGGTCAATGAGACAGCCTCCTATCTGGTCTCCCTGCCTACCTCCCATAGGTCCCCTTCATCCCCTCCTGCTCACTCCTTAAGTGTGAGAATGACCTGAGTGTCACTCCTCTGTTTAAAGCCATCCATGACTTCCTGTTGCAATCAGAATAAAATCTAAACTCCCTACCCTGGCCCACAAGACTAAACCTGAGCTAGCCCACCTTCCTTCCCCATCTCATCCTTCCTCCACTGTGTTCCACACTTAAAAGCTTCGGGCCTCCTTTCTGGCCCTCGGGCACAGCACACTTGTTCCCTGCCTCAGGGATGTTGCACTTGATGTTCCTTCTGCTTGGAATATCACTCACCCAGATCTGCTCACAGCTGCTTCTCCTCTTTCATCGTTCAGATCTCAACTCAACCACCTTCTCAATGAATCCTCCCTTCACTGCCCTGCCTCTGTATCACCACCAGCTCCCCTGCCTCCACTAATCTCTTCCACTGACCTTACTGTGTCTTCTTCATTGTACTTATCAGTACCTGAGCTGACCTTGTTTACATATTTGTTTTGGGAATTGTTTGTCTCTCAACTCCACTAAGTGTGTAGACTCCAAGATGGTGGAGCACACACTTAGTGGAGGTGAGAGAATTAGTCGCGTACATTGCTTTTTCTCTGGTACTCCCAACACCACCAGACTCATCATAGGCCCTTGGTACATATTAGTGACCAGTGCTTCCGATTCCCTTTTCTTCTTTCCCTGGCCTGTGTGAAACAGCATCATAAAAGTCATGGAAAGAACCCCCACACCTCTATTCACATTTTCTTTATAAACTCAGTTAACTTCCATGCATTTAGAACTGAAATAAATTTTGACTTGACCTGACCTTGAAGAAAAGATTTGTAGTGGGAAAACGTTCAACCTAATGGCTCTCTACTCTCTCTGCTCATCTTTTTAAAAACCACAGCTAAGCCCGGCCGATGTAGCTCAGTGGTTGAGTTTTGACCTATGAATCAGGAGATCACAGTTCGATTTCTCTGCAGGACACATGCCCAGGTGGCAGGCTCAATCCCCAATAGAGGGCCTGCAGGAGGCAGCTAATCAATGATTCTCTCTCATCATTGATGTTTCTCTCTCTCTCCCTCTCCCTTCCTCTCTCTGAAGTCAATAAAAGTATATATATAAAAAAACACACACACACACACAGCTAAGCTGGTCCATTGTAGATAGTGCTACTAGAGCAGGTGTCAGAGGTTCATGCCTGGAAAGCTGCGAGGGACCTGCTTGTTTAGCCTGATCAGGAGAACTGATCCATGTTTGTAAACAGAGCTTTGAAAATCAAGTGTTTATATACAATTGGACTTGCTAATCACAGATGAATCCTATTTATTCATTTACAACAATTGGGTTTATAAACAGTGTATCAGTTTGATTCAGATTAATTCAGTATGTAACTGAGCACATACTTGAAGGTGAAAGCTAAACTTCTTGAAAATATTCTTGACAGTCGTTTCTCTAATTCTGACTGGTCTTCCCAGGCACACTAAGTTTTTTTTTTCATATTATAGAGAGAGACAAATGCATTTGTTAATTTATTCCTTCATTCAACAGTATTTATTGAATACCATTGTATTTATTGAATACCATCGTTGCTAAACAGAAGAGCTAAAGATACGGCCCTTTGACCCTGAGATGAATGAGAGAGGTTGACATATAAGCACATAAATTATAATAGATAGTGTCATTCAGCAACATTTGCCCCGTATAGGCTCGGCCATTGTCAAGGTCACAAGGATGAACGACATGCACTCTTTGCTCATCAATAGGTTCTGTTCTCATCCGTGGGTTCCCTAGCTCATGAAGATGGCCAACACTCAAATATTTAATCCTTTATAATGACTTGATAACAGCAATATGCACGGTGTTTTGTAGAAAGGATCTCTGGTCCTGCGTGACACAGAAGTTAGGGAAACCCTTGCAAATGCTGTGCTAGTAAACAAGTAGGAGTTTTCCAGAAGAGGCAGGACGGGTGAGCATCGCAGGCCAACAAGCACAGGCACGGATGCAGGAGGGGCACGTGTCCTAAATGTGAGCTAGTGGACAGGGACCTCTGTCTGTTCTACCCCCAGATATCCCCAGTGCCTGGGAGAGTGCTTGGCATGTAATAGGTACTAGTATTTGGATAATTGAGGGAATAGAAATTAGTTTTGTGTGAATTAATCATCATGTATGTGGCAGAGAGATGAGCCTAAAAATGTATAATGATGACTTGTTTTAGAAAATTCATTTAGATATTAGCTCCATAAAATAATAATAACAATACTGAACAGAAGTGAGCACTATATAATGTGAAGTTTTATTCACAAATTAGCTCTTTTAATCCTCAACACAACCCTATGAGGTAGATTAATTATTATCCCCAATTTACAAATGAGGAAACTGAACAAAAGGAAATTAGGTGCCCTGTCCAAGAATTAAGCCCAGCTTGTAAGTCCATTCCCTGAGCGATCAGTGGTAGTTGCTGTTCCATGAAACCCAATTTAACACGTATTATATCTAAACTCGAAGCCCAGTGCACCAAATTTCATGCACTGGGGGGTGGTCCCTCAGCCTGGCCTGCGCCCTCTCACAGTCCAGGACCCCTCACTGCTTACCACCCGCCGGCTCACTGATCCTTACCACTCAGCTTGCTGCTCCTTAGTGCTGCCACAGAGGCGGGAGAGGCTCCTGCCACCGCTGCTGCACTCGCCAGGCTGTGAGCCCGGCTTCTGGCTGAGCGGCGCTCCTCCTGCGTTGAGCATCTGCCCCCTGATAGTCAGTGTGCATCATAGTGACCAGTCATTCTGGTAGTTCCGCTGTAATGTTACTTAGGCTTTTCTTATATAGATTACATGTGGAATGACTGGCGGTAGTGAAATTGGTGTTCTCCTTTACCATCATGGATAACTTGGCTTCTCTGTGGAAGCACACTCGGTTCTAGCTTGGCTGGTTGAGGACAGCTCTTGGCTTCTCTTCCAGCCTCTATGGTGGTGACAGCTGCACTAGGAAGGAGGTGTGGGAGTGAGGCAGGAGCCATGCAGGGCCACGCTGGAGTGAAGGGAGTGGTGGGGTCCAGGGAAGTGGGCGATGAGGTACGGAAAGTGAGATGTAGGAACTGGGGCAAGGCAGGCTTTGTCTTTCTACCCCCTGCCCTCACCAGGCATCCCCTCCTGCATATCTCTCTCTCTCCCTCTCTTTCTCACAGTTTCTCTCCCTCTCCCATACACACACACACACACACACACACACACACACACACACATTCTCTCTCTCTCTCTCTCTCTCTCTCTCTCTCTCTCTCTCTCTCTCTCCTCCCACCACCACTATCATGATTGAGTGGGAAAAACTTCTGCCCCATCTTTGTCTAATTGCCCACAGTGTGCCAGGTCCCTGGAGACAGATGCACTCTGTGGGCCTCTGGTGAGCTCCGGAGTGAATTTCCTAGTGCGGAGTGTTTATTCTGTTTATGTCACGGTCAAGTAAAACCTAAAGAGAGAAACACTAGAAGACTGGGAATGTTCTGAAATATGATTCTGGGAGCATCCAGTG